CAAGTCCTCACAAAGATGCTGCTTGAGATTCTCTTCATGGATTTTGTGCAGGATGGAAGTCCAGCTGACAGATCTGTCATTTTCCAAGTATTCCCTCTTCCCTTTTTTGAAGATGAGGATGACTTTGCTCTCTTTCAGTCTTCTGGCCCCTCACTAATCTGCCCAAAAGTTCTAAAAAAATTACCAACGAGGACTGTGTGATCTCCTCTGATAGTTTGATCGGTACGTTAGGTTGTAATTCATTTCATTCTGAAGATTTGAATTCATTTAAATCAGGGGTGTCAAACTTGCGGACTGCAGGCCGGATGTGTCACATGTTGGCCACTCCCACCCATGGTTTAGCAAAGGGGGGGAAAGTCACGATACATCACATGATGACAGCGTGACAAAGTGAGTTTGACATTCCTGATTTTCCCTTACTTTCTCCTTGTCTACCCTAAGCAGCAGTGCCGCCTCCTCTCTGTGGCATATGCTTGACCAGCTAGAATTCCATTAAACCTTCTGAGCATAGACAGACGCAAACTAGGAGATCAGAAGTTCTGCCCTCTATCATTTCCCAAATGTACTCTGTTCTCTTCCCAGCTGACCTACATTTTCCTTGGCTTTCTGTTTATTTCTAATACAGCTAAACAAGCTTTTGTGTTATTTTCAGCATCTCTGACAAGAATCAGCTCAATTTGAGCTTTATTCGAGTGTATCACGGCAATATTAACTCACAAAGTAAACTAACAATCTGAAGATGGTCAAATGTGCTTTTTCAAAATGCAACTAGACTATGTATTTTTTCCCCTTGAAGAAAAAGAAGACACTTCATTTTCATTCAAGACTCTTCATCAATTCTGATTGGATGTGGGTGGGTGAAAGGCTGGAAGGATTAGTTCTGACAGGACTGGTCCAAATGAAAGTTTTATGAGTTCAAAACTAGATCCTATTGTGGCCCAGCAGGAGCCGTTGGAGCTGCCACCAGACTCTGACAGCAAGGGGCCCTATGAGTCGGCTCTGGAGGATGTGGAG